GGTGACTCCCATCTCTCATTTGATTTTTAACTGTGTAGCTATATTCTTGCTATGCTCTGTAGCTATTTGTATTATTTAGTTCACTCCAGTCCATTGGCATACAAAAGTCATATGGAAGAGGCTAAATAAAGAACTTGTATACATTTTAAAAAAATACAGGAAAAACATTCCGTGAGGCAAGAACTTTGGTGACAAATACCCCACTTCTGCTCTAGCATTTCATTATGGTGCCAGGCCCCTTGATGGAGTTTCAGTCCCAGAGTACCTTTATCCACTGTATTAGTGGGCTTGCTTGCCAACTGGCTTATTGTACTTTTATACCAACTACGGCCAATAGCAAAGCAATTCTCTCCCCATGGTGCCACATAACAGAAGAGGTTTTGCTATTTTATAACAGCAAGGAGGAGTGGTGAGATTCTAAAAATACAAGCTCAGCAACTGGGATGTGGGTGTGAGTAGGTTTTATCGATAAAATGGTGCTTTCACTCACCACGCTCACTGAAAACTCTGTAAGGCTGTGGAGTGTTTGCAGATTATTATAAAAGGGTCCATTATAGAGCTGTGACTAATTACGCCACTCCCAAGCTACAGGAATTACCACAGAAACTGCGGGAATTGATGTGTGCGGGGTTTGTTCCTCTGTTTCAGGTTCCATGTCAAAGAGGTGTGGACTAAAAGTAGTACTGGGTTGGAACTGGACAGAGTTCTGTGTTCAGGCTGTCCCCATTAGGCAGCAGGGCTCTGTACAACACCAAAGCAGGGTACCATTTATTTTTTATATATAGGAATTACCATAATGAATCAGAGCAATGGTACATCTAGTCTAGTAGTCTGTCACCTACAGAAGCCAGTACCAGATGCTGTTTTGAGTTACAGGGCAATCTGCCATCTGGGAAACTTTCCTCCTAGCTCCTAATAGTTAGAGGTCTTCTCAAGGCCTGGAGAAAGAGGCTTGACAGCGCAGTGGATGAAACAAAATGGCACTAAACAGCTGAGCTTAGATTCATGACCTTCTTCTGAGCCAGTCCCCAGTGTGATACTATGCAAGTTTTAATTTGTTCTCATTTGTTAATTATAATCAGAAGCCATAATTGACAAGACAAGACCATGGGAAAGTCCTCATTTAATTGTTGTTTTGCACATCCTCAGAGCAGTTTCCATTGGCTGGGCCTGGCTGGTGCTTCAGCCATATGAAGTTTCTCTCCCAGTGGAAACCCTGAGGGATGGCAGACAAGAAGCAACTACAGGGAACATTTTCAGTAGGAAGGATGCAATTAAATTGGAATTTGGCCAGTACATCTACCTCTATCTTCCCTTACAAGAAGGGAGGTGGGATCTTTAATGACCACAAGTGCTTAAGTCATTGTGTCTCACCCAAAACAGAGCACCTCCAGGAACAGAATGTCATCTACTACTGTGCTTGGGCATTGGTTCAGCACTGAATCAGAAGGGAGAGTAATACCACAAACATGTGCCATACTCCACCATGCCTTCTACTTTGCGTTATTCACAACATAACATTTTACCTTATGATTTCATTAGAATGCACAAGCCAAGCAGATTTATGCAACCAGTAGGCATTTCATAGACGAATGCTCAGTTTAAATAAAAAAAGGGTCAAGGATACTTAAATAATTAAAGATCAGATTCACTTAACCAAGTGAAAAATCTCAGCTCTGACTCACTGTAAATACACAAATAGAAATCCCCGCTGTGAATGTCTTCATCACAAATTATTACAGCCAACCATCAATAGTATAAGACCCAGCCACTAGCCATGGAAGACAATGCAATATTAAATGGGAAGGAAAGTCGATGTGCCACATAACAAATGGAAGGAAGCGAGTGCTCACCTAAGAAGTCACCTTTCTCTCATAAAGGAGGACAGGTCACACTCCTCATTAAATCCCAGCAGGAACAAAGGAATTTAAATAACAAATCTGAAAAGCTTCCCTTTGACGTAAATGACACTTCTGCCTCCTTCTCACCTTGGGCCTGTGTTATGCTCATGAATCTCAATGGAGCTA